TGCTGTTCCAAACTTTTTTGGAAGTATCGTAGTGCCTGAAACATAGCACTATGTACTCAGTGAGTACATATATATGTTGCCTGAACAGATGAAGATATATACACAACTCGATTTTTGTGCCAACAATATTTTTCATGTTTAATGATTTATGATAAAAAACTGAGATATAATAAATTACCATAAGGACTTTTTCCACTTGCCTGTATTATCCTAGAAAAAATATTTAATTAAGAAGAAACTTTTGGAAGCCATTCTGATAATGTCATTCATTTAATCATATATTCTATTTACAAAAATTTTAACTATTAAATACGAATAGAACTGGCTGTAGAATTCTAAGTCAGTAAAAGGTTCCCCCTTGGTATATAAGTGATTATTGATTCAAGATACATGCAAAAGGTAGATAAACACTCTACCTTTTATTCTGTGCACACTTGAGCAAATTTAAGGCTTTTGAGCCTCATTTTTCTTCTTAAGGGTGAGGTTCTGCTTGATGAGTTCCCCAGACCCACCAGATAATGATTCATACACATTTGCTAAATGCTAGCAGAGAAATCCTCAAATGACAAGTCCATCTTTTTCTGGATTGGGCTCTTTAAAGACTTTAACCTCTCTTTTCTCTCTCCTCAGCATGACTCTAACTTGTCTTTCTTGGCATTTACCATGGGCTTTCTCCCTCTTTTTTTAACCTACAATAACCCTGTCACTACCTGTTGGATTGTAAATACCTCTAAGAAATGCACGCTCAAACGTGTCAGTAATTTGCCACTGTGCATACGCCACGAAACTGTTGTTGATGGTGAGAATGATGATATTTGCTGGTGGCATTTTAGGCATCCAGCACAGCCAAGTGCTTCTCAAGTGTGGAGCAGGTGCCCTGAATCTGAAGCTTGTTTAGAAGTTCCTCAACCCACTGCAAAGCTAGATAAGGAAGATCTGTGGAGGTGGAACCCAGGAAAAGCATCTTCCAAGTACCCTAGATCAGTGTCCCCAACCCTTTTGACAACAGGGACTGGTTTCACAGAAGATAATCTTTTCATGATGAGAAAGGGTTGTGGAGTGATTTTAGGATTAGATTCTCATAAAGGGTGTGTAGACTAGATCCCTTGTATGGACAGTTCACAGTAAGGTCTGCACTCCTATGAGAATTTAATGTCACCCCTGCTGATCTGACAGGATGTGGAGTTCAGGCAGTGATGCTAGCCCTGAAGAACACTTATCAAAAGATGAAGCTTCCTCAGCCACCCACTGCTTACCTCCTGCTGTGTGCACCAGGTCCTAACAAGCCGAGACCAGCACTAGTCCATGGCCTCTGGGTTAGAGACCCCTGGTCTAGATGAAATCTTTGTACTCTGAGGCTTGACAGCCTCTGTGATGTATAGTCAGTGAATATATGTTAAATGCTGAATAGATGTTACCAAAGACAGAGAAACTAACCACTATACCCAGCAAAGGTCTTAGATTCACAAGGGTAACATCATGGCTAAAAGGAGAAAGAGACACAGAAGAAAACACAGTGCACCTAAACCAATGGTTCTTAAGATCTGCTGCAAAGGAAGCCACTTGCTATCAAAAACAAAACAAACAAAGACACAAGATTCAATTCCTCCAAGCTTCTGGAGCCATATGTTGAACAAACTGACTTGTCACCTTAAACTCATTCCATAGGGCTGGTCCTTCCCTGCCTCCTAATGATAGCCTCAAGGAGCTCCCACACCCTCCCTGGTCACTCCTGATACAAACACTGCTTCACTTTCCTAAGTGGAAGGTATAGATGCAGCTGATCATCAAAACCCCCAGTTTGATATGGTTTCAGCTCCCCTACCTCCCACATACTACAACTCATCCAAGTTGCAAGGAGAAAGTCTGCCACTGGGGGAAGAGCCAGTCCGTGTGCTCTCTTTGTCCCTCACCTAAAACTTCAGTCTTCCTCCCCTGTCTTTAGTATCTGACCCCTTCCAAGTCAGGGAAATGAGGAAGTGCCTGTGTGACTGGCCCTGCCATCACCTAGCTTCTTGCACACTTCTTGCTCAGAGGTATTTATGGTTGACTCTTTTTCTGTGGGATGCTCTTGTGTATTTGACTGGAAACTTCTCAATCCTGGCTTCTCAAGTCCTTTGGGCTAGATGATGTGCCTCCTCTAGGTTCTCTCTGCTGGGATCAGCTTACCTCTCCAACGGAACTCTCTCAGACGAGGTCTGACATGCTCCACCCCAGTGCTGTCTCACAAACATGGTCCGTATCTGTTCCTGAGTAAATTCATGCAAACTTCAACTGCCAGCCCCTAGAACCAACACCCCTCCTTGAGCTTCCCCATGAGAGCAGCTAATCAGTCTGCCTTTGAGCTGTGGTATTTTCCACTAAAAGGCCAGTGCAAGTCTGATGTGTCTCCCTAATGCAAGGACACAACAAGCTCCCTGTGTCATGCATAGGAGCCCCTCTTTTTTGGCATAAAGTAAAAGAGAAAAGATTCCCTATACTTGGAGAAGTGAAATGCACAGGACTCCAACAGTTCTTTTGAAAAACTCAATTTTAAATCATTCCTTTATAACACAGATAAAGAATTTAAAAATGTCTACTTTATTCTTACAGATTTTTTTTTTAAATCTACATCTTTGTCAGGAATGAACTGTAATGTTTGCTGTCTGCCACCATTGAGTCATCTTAAGCCCCTCAAACAGAAAGAGACTAAGAAAGAATATTTAAACTCGACCAGCAGAGAAGACCCTCCCTCTCCATAGTCTAGTTTATGCTTGGAGCTCACACAGACTAAATCTGTATGTGGCAGAGTCTTCAGATCTTCCCAACTGGGAAGTCCCGAGAAGAGCTAAATATTTTCAGTTAGTAATCCAAGGAGTAAAACTATCGAAAGTTCAGAGTGCCCTCTACCATCTGTGGTCTGGATCTTTCAGAAGACCTGGCCACCCCTTCTGTGGACCCCAGTCAAAGACACACACTTCAGGAAAAGCTGGATGCCCTTAGCTAAGATTTATAGCTGATTCTCCCAATCAAAGTTCTTAGCCTTGGGTAGGTGTCTCTGTGTGTACTTCAGAGAAGTCTGGAACCTCCTGAAAGTTATGTTTATAAATAAAAACATATCCCCAAGAATAGGGTATATATTTTTATCAGTTTCTCCAAGGGGTTCATTATCCAAAAAGGCCTGCCCAGCTCTAAACAAGGCTAGCAGTATTCTAAAGGAGGCGAGTGTGCTCAATTAACAATTGTGGGAGAGAAATGTGCCACCATAACCAGACCAAAGTGTCGTTGCACCTACTGTGTGCCAAAAGGCAGAGGAGAGACCACACAGAAAGATAAGCCAAGTGTTAAAAGAAACACAAACAATCCCCAACTTTCCATCATTTTACTTACGATTTTTCAACTTTGGTCATGTGAGAGCAATATGCATTCAGTAGAAACCATACTTCCAATTCTCAGTTTGGATCTTTTCTGGGAAAATGATTATGTGAGACAGTCTTCTCTCTCCCAGTGCCACAGCTCTCAATCAGCCCCTTGATGTTGCCACAGTACTTAGTTACATGAGTTATTCATCACTTTATTATAAAGTGGGCTTTGTGTTAGAGTGCCTTGCCCAGCTGCAGGTTAATAGAAGTGTTCTGAATGCATTTAAGGTATCTTGGCTAGGCTATGATGTTTGGTTGGTTAGGCATTTTAACAAAATATTTTCAAGTTGTGATGGGTTTATTGGGACATAACCCCATCATAAATCTAGCAGGACCTATGTAAGATCATGATAGAAAATAAATCAGAGCAAATTATGAGCAAAAGCCTAGTGTGAGCATGAAACCAAAGGCAGGGAGTTGAGCCTAGGATGTGAGCTTATACAGAGTCTGATAAGAGCTGAAACCAGACAGTGGAGTTGGGGCTTGGTTGTGAAGGGTTTTAATGGGAAGAGTGAGGGTAGGTACTCATTTTAGAAAAGTGTAGGGACAGTGAAAATCATTAACCAAGAAGAGATATTATTAACATATCACATTGTGCTATCATTGGTAATGTGAATGTCTGATTTCCCAGACAGAATACCAATGAAGTGTAGGAAAGCAGAATTCAAATTTAACTCTTGTTTATACATTTAACTCCTTTTATATCCCCTGGCATATGATAAGTGTTTAATACATTTTTAGGGTCAAGAGGGATGATGGATAAAAAGGAAAAAGGGAAGAAAATAGGGGAGGAAGAAAGAAGAAGAGAGATGACGAAAGAGGTGGGGAAGGAACAGGGAGAGGGAGAGAGAGAAACAGTACACTATTGCCTCAGTCTAGGCAAACAAAAATGAGCAACTTCAAGAAGGGAGGAACTGATACTTATGAGATGCTAGGTTGCCATAAATCTCAAATTTTCACCCTACTCTAATAAGCTCTACTATAACCGGCTCAGGTTTGATAGTGCATGTTTCAATTCATTATAAGAAGAAAGGATCTGTAAGCATCATTTCACCAGCCGAGTGAGAATTTGTGCTCCTGCAACGCGTGCGCCATTTCACTGTGCACAGAGCATTCGTTTGCTGATGGCCAGGAGTGAGGTGTGGCCGTGGACAGAGTAGGTGGTTACTGACCCGTGCAGCCCCCACATTCACATTGCAACTCTGACCTTCCTTCCACCACCACTCACTCAACAGGGCAGCAGGTTTTTTTATGCCTGGCTGACTTTCACATCCTGCCTGCCTAGACATGCTAAAAACTTGACCTTCAACTCAAACCCTCTTAATCCATATGCTCTATTATGTTTCTCCCCAGATTGGGTGGAATGTGGGTCAGCCTGGGTTGGGATGACATTTTTCACTCTTCTAAGATTATGATTTAATCTGTCCATCTCAGACCCACCTGAAGCACTTTTCTGTTTATCCAGATAACCTTTGCAGGATTTCTAAGCCTGTCATTTCCTCTTTGACCACATTTTATATACATATTTCATGATGTGCTCCTAGAGCACACTTTCAGATCCTGAATCCTTATGTCCTCATTTACTTCCTTTAGTAACTACTATTTCAGAAACAAAATTATCCTACTGAATTTTTAGGAAATGGGTTCAGATGCCTCATGGTGGCAGTTTGGGCCTGTATAATTATAAAAAAGTAATACCGGAATTTGACTTTTCTGCAAAGTTAATTAGAGCTCCTTGCATGTTCATTGGTCATGTGTTTTGAATGTGGCAGCCAAGACACTTGAGCAGTGGGTCTCTGTAACTTCCAGAATTCTCACACAGAATCGCTCTTTTTGTGAACCAAACCAGAAGAAGCATATGACGGATGTTAGTTCAAAAGAACAAGCCAAAATTAACAAGTGGCCAGTCATCTTACAGTTTTCTGTCCTATCATTTGTAATTGTTTAGTGAATAGCTACTGCATGCAGGTTGTTGGGAGAGGGCAAGAACGTTTAATAAAATAAACAAAGCACCTGCATAAATAATGGATTCCTTCTTGGCAATTTATTTGGCAAAAGAAGGAACAGGGACTCATGACTAATTGTGGCTCAAGGTATAACGTGATGTCCCTTCATGAGAGTGCAAAGGAGAGCTGGCTCTATGAGTACCAGACCAATTGGGTGGGGGAGCTGCTACTTGGCTCTCGTTCCCATCCAGAACCACATTGCCATACCTTCTATATTTTTCATAAAGAATAAATGGTGAATATTTTATGGAGGCTCTATTAAGTTTTCAGTCTTGTCAACCAATTTCAACATTTTAAAGCCCTGTTTCCATAAATATGAGAGGGGGCATCCCTTTCTGCTGGCTGTGTGTAACCACCCACCACCAGCTTCTACCTCTGAACTGGAAGCAAGGGTTTTCTGAAGCCATCAGAATGTATCTGGTAGGGTGGGTTGGAGCCAGATTGTACCTGTTCTCCAGTATTGTGCCAAGCTCTATGGTATAGTTCTTAACCATGGGCACCATCATACACTCTCTTTGACATAATAGTGGAATAGTCCCATCAGAGGTTTAGAAACTCTGGTTGCAGATGGGCACTTGGCACATGACTTGACAGCGTTAGTTGATTTAATGAAAGAGAGGACGGGGAAGGAAAGAGATTAGCAGTCACTAAGCTCTTTAAATTATCCAGAGAAAAGTCTTTGTAAATAAGGGAGTGTGGAGGGGGTGAAGAGAGGGTGGGGTATGGGGGAAAAATGAGAACAAAGATCTGTCATGTAAAGGTACAAGATCCCGCTGATGAATCTAACTGTACTGTATACTTAGAAAGTACCAATAAACTCAATGAAATAAATAAATAATCCAGAGAAGGAATGATGAGGTTACAATAAGGGAAATGAAATTGAAGAAAAAAGAGATAAATATAGGAACACTCTGTAAGGCAGAGTGATGCCTTTATGAAGGTATTAATGCTGTCCACCAAATTGTTCTGACTATCCCCATTTCTTGGGTCCAATAGGATGGCACTTCCCAGTGTCTTTGTAGTTGAGTGGTCTGTGCAACTAATGCTGGCCAAGGAGTGAGTAGAAAAAATGGTGGATGTTACTTCTAGGCCAGAGCATTTAATTTCCACCCGGGAAAGCTCCCTTTCCTCCAGCATCATCTTAGCAATGTTGAAGGTTCTGACTGCTTTTTCACTTAGTAACTAGGTTCCTAAATGACTAAGATGAGCTTAGGCCCCTTGCTGACTTATGATATAGAAAGAAAACAGTTGAACTAAGCCATTTTATTTTATTTTATTTACAGTTCCTGTTTTTTATTAGAGGTGTTCTTATATTTGATTTGTTTTTATTTTATTATTTATTTGAAAATTATCCAAGGGTTTATTTATTATTGCTAAATCAGTGATTCTCCATCCTGGCTACACAGAATCTCCTGAGTCCAGGGAGTTTTGCAAAAAATACTGACACGTTGCACCTTCCTGTAGCAAATCTCTGGGAAGAAAGTCTAATCAATAGATTGTTTGCTTCTTTTTTTTCCTCATTGAGTTTATTGGTAAGTTTTAGGTATACAGTACAGTTACATTCATCATTGGGATCTTGTACCTTTACATGACAGGTCTTGGTTCTCATTTTTTCCCCATAACCCTTCAGTGTTACATTCATCATTGGGATCTTGTACCTTTACATGACAGGTCTTGGTTCTCTTTTTTCCCCTCGTCCCTGCCCTCCCTTCACCCCTTCTCTCCTCCCCCTTTACAAACACTTCATTTCCATTTTTATTTTCTCATATTTTTTTCTTTTCCCTTATTAAATTTCGCCTACTCTTCCCACTTTCCCTACACCTTTAGCCCCTAACTATAGTACTACATAAGACCCTAATGATATAATAGACAATGTGAAATAGGAAGTCATTATATTTTAAAACTGCTTGTTAATAAGCATAACCTAACCTACCTGACTGATACATTTGTAATGGTCTGTTTTTTTCATAGTACCTCAGACAGAGTAAAAACAATATTCTTTTATTTCCCATAAAAAGATCACTCATCCTTACAGAAATCCATGTTTGCAAAACTATTTGCACTCACATACATAGTATGACTATATGACATCCTACCCCTGTAAAATGCCAGTGTCTATTGCTTTTTATGTATTTTCTCAGGATTCTTTTTCTTATGCTCTTTTTCTTTCTGTAGCAATGTGATTGTTTCATTAAAACTATTAGCTGCCTTTTTTCTAGCTTAGTATATATGAAAGTCTTAAAAATAAATTGGATGACTAATTTGCATATCATTAAAAATAACCAAATTACCCACGCAATATATTGATTTTCCCACTAAAAATTTCAACTGCAGAGATGGGAAGAGAAAATAGGAATGAGAATAGTAATAATATTTATGATAGAATATGAATAACTTTTAACATTTTGCATGAATAACATTTTGCTACATGGTAAAAAGCATTTTACAACAAATTTCTTTTCCAAATTCTGAATTAGTATTGCAAATCTGGCAAGGGTATATTTTTTTTTATTCTTATATCTCAAATTATAAAAGCAGAGCAGCTTAAGGAAAGTATTATTATTTATTGTGAAGGTTGAGCAAAGCTGAGATACATATGGCCCTAGAATCATGTCTTAGATTTCTTCATCTGTAAAGCAAGAAGAAATACACACTATCTCCTCTTCTCAAAAAATAAGCAAGAACCAATGAAGTAAGAGCTATAAAGCTTTTAGCAACCCTGAAGTTGTTGTATTGGAAACAAAATTGAATTGCCTGTTTAGAGAGTTTAAAGTTCAGCCTAGATAAGGAAGGTTTGTGGTGATAGGAGGGAAATTAAAAAGAGAAGAACGTAGTCAGATTCTTAAAAAGAAATCTCTTGCTACACACTCTGGCTTCCACAGCCTTCTAAAGAAATCAGCCACCACATCTTTGTCACTTAACTTTTTTAATCTGAACTGACAGATCACTGGAGAATAACTGTAGGGAATAATCCCCACACTGGCAGAGGGGATGGATTAAATCAACCATGAAAATAAGCACTGGCCCATGTGTCTATAGCCTAAAAGAAATTTGAGTGAACATAGTGCTATGTTTAAACCAAGCACAGTAGCCACTGAATTGCCCATAATATTCTTTCCTACAGATGTCCATAGAAGAGAACACCAATACAAAATCTTTGAAAGCCAGCACACATTTTGCTTTGTCTTCTAAATTTAAAGAACTATTTTATTGTTTCATTAGCACAGAAAATAAAATTAGCATATTTTTCTTTCCTCTAAATCCATAGCAAATAGTGACTATGGCTTCTTGTCTACTTTAATAAAAGAAGTGAAATTTTCCATAAGAAAATCAGTAAATGTTAACTGTGATCTTTAAAAAACTAACCTCTAATGGAAAGTGGATTGGACTTCTAAGAAGAGATCACCAAGGATTTAAATAAATGATTTCTTTATGTGAATGAAAAATAATGAGATTGAACGTTAAATGGACACTTCTTTTAGCTGCTATTTTGCTCATATGTATTTCTGTTCTTAAACTCAAATAGTATCAATAGAGTGATGCCTAGACTGTGATGTACTGTGAACCTCAGCCTTCTCAAACAACAACAACAATAACAGTGTGATTGACACATATTGGAAGATGGACACATCAAATTGACATCCAAGGAGAGTCCTATTCTTTGTGAGGTGTTGTTCACTAAGCTTCTGCCAAACTTCTCCAGAGAAGTACCCCATTTATGTGGGAGAGTAGGATCTTCTGATGGGTAAATTTTGTCTCTGCTGGTCAAATGGATTTATAATCAGTGTTTCCATATACAGTCTATAGATTGCCTACCTGTTATGTAAGCATCACTCAAGCAAAGCCAGTGAACGTGTAGGCTCTATCTGCAGAAATTCAGGATCAAATTCAAGTTCAAATCCCAGGACTCCTAATTCAATATTGTGTTATTACTTGAAGAAAACTTAAAAATTTAAAGGGAAAAAACACAAGAGGAAATTATTTAAATCATTTTTCCTTAAAGAAGATCTTACATAAAGTTTTGGTATTGATAGAAATACATTTGTCTTTCTTTACTCACACTACTTACAAGCTTATCTGTGGAGCAGATCATTCACAGCAGGCTCCTCACAGCTAAAACCTTACAGCAAATGATGTTGTCCCAGTGCATGGGAAGAGCTCATTGAGGCATCAGCTTATCTTAGCTGGTCATAGAGTTTCAGCCCTGATGCCCAGCTCTGTACCCTTCAAGACCTTTTCTTGTATTTCTTTCTCCTTGCCTACCAGACTCTCTGGAACACTTGCCTTCAAGAAAACTGCACTTGTAAAGAAATTCATATGCCAGAGCCAGGGCCGGGGATTTAGCTCAGTGGTGCCACTGCACAAATGAAAGGTCCCAAGTTTGATCCCCAGTACGGGAAAAAGAAAAAGGAAAAAAAAAAAGAAATTCATATGCCCTTAGCATGTTTACATTTTATCAAAGAAAGATGTTTATTACACTCAAAGTTTTCCTTTAATATGAGTTAACCAGTTGCACCACACTGGGTAAACCAGAATATGGATTAATACTTACACTTATTAGAGATGAACTTATACAAATTCCACTAGGATTATGCTTATTAATTAATGTTGAAAATAGCTCATCACTTCCTCTAGAGACCCTGATTCAAAATATATAAAACATACATGCATATATAATCATATATAGTTCTATATAATTAAAATTAA